AAGCACCTACCAACCAAGTGACTCATGCGCCTATCGACCGAGCCACTCCAAGCACCTACCGACCGAGTCATTCCAAGCACCTATCGACTTGGCCACTCCAAGCACCTACACCCCGAGCCACTCCAAGCACGTACACCCCGAGTCACTCCAAGCAACTGTCCACTGACCCACTCCAGGCACCTACCGACCGAGCCAATCCAAGCACCTACTGATCGAGCCACTTCAGGCACCTTCCGACCAAGCCACTCCAATCGCATTCTTCATTTTTTTCTCCTCTGTCTCTCTCTATCTGTGTCTCTCTCTCTCTCTCTCTCCTCTCTCCCTCTCTCTCTCTCTCTCTTTCTCTCTCCCTTTCTCTATCTCTCTATGTGTGTTCCGTTTCTTGAATTCGTTAACAATGCTGAAATTTAGTAGTTGGTTTGGGCCTAACTTGTTTTTTTTTTTGTTTTTTTTTTTTGTGGCCATTGCCCGCACCGCCCGCACCACGGGCGCTTAGCTAGTGCCAATAAATGTTAGGGACGGGGTATCCGTCGTCCTGCCAGAAGAAGGAATCGGGACGGATCAAACCGGCGTATCAAACCATGATGTTGGGCGACAGGGATGCCTTTCTTTGGATAGAAACGGTGTGGACCAAGGTCGGCCTAACGCGGCTAACGCCAAGCATGACGGATTTGGAATTTCGGGGGACTGTGGAAGCCCGAGGCTGGATCTACCTGTATAAGGAAGGGAGAACGCAATGGTGGTAGACTTGGCGTTAGGGATAGTCCCATACCAATTATTCGGGCAGGCGGAACGAGAAGTAGTGTGGGTTGCGTGTCAGCGGGTGGAAATGGAAGATGTGCGGGTGAAACTCGGAGATAGAGGGAACGTAAGGTGGCTGCTTAAGATGATGAGGTGCACCGTGCCTCCGTTCTTGGTGGACGTTGTCTTCGGGACCCGGAGTAGGCTGGTGTGGATATGCCAGTCCATGACGAACCTCGGGCTGTACCAGGGTGCCCGGCATGACTTCTTCCGTCTATCGGTCGAAATGAGACCCTTCGAAGGGAATTGGGCAAAGGAATTGGCTTAGATACTAAACTGCCTCAGCACGGATAAGGTGTTTGTCCCGAGTTCCGTCCATTGGAAGATAATCTATATGAATGTGGTGATAGGAGAAATGTTTGTGGACGGGTTGAAAGATCTGTGGTACGAGGAAGAGGACGATCTTACTGATGAAGACGAAGACGATGCAATCGAAGACTGAGACTTGTGAGGAAAGGGTCCGTGGGGCAGAAATGATGGGGGTGGTCGGCGTTGTGCAGGGTACAAGCATGGCTAGGGAACAACGCTTAAACAACCGGATGTTTAGGGGGTGGGAGCCAAGACAGTTCGAGGGAGGATTAGAGATGACCCTGCCAACAAAAAATGAGTGGAGAGGAGCGACTTGTGACTGAGTAGGGCAAGCAATCGCATTAGAACAATCGTTCTTATGGGTAGAAAGAATATGGAACCCATTGATTGAGGGAGGAAGAAGGATGGGACGACATAGCTGAGGGAAATGTAGAAGCCCTTGGGACGGTCTACTCATCAAAAAAGGGGTGGCATGTGTTCTGTGTAACGTTGGCGTCTAGGCAAGACCCAATGTGGATCTTAGGTGGGGCCGAGCGACGGACTCGTGATATGGGTTACGAATTCGCCAACAAGGGATGGGATGAGGTAAGCAGTAGCGTTGCAATAGGAGGCTGGGAGGAATTCAGGCTGCCGTGCCAGATAGTTTAAGCCTGGGTGTCGCGCTTTGTGGCAGACTGGTTTGGAGGATACTAACACATCCTCGCGGTGGCGAAAGCCTTAGACGAAGTAAACCTGGGTTTTTCATGGCTAGTCGACGCTTACTACAAGATCTCGTTGGAAATGGGACCGTTCCACGGGGATAGGGCAAAAGAGGTCGTCGACATCCTGAATTTTTTTAAGGAAGACCGGCTCGAGGTGGACAACGGGGCCGAGGATGTGATACTTTGCCGCGAGGTGGAGCGACCCCCTCGTATATAGGAGACGTGTTCCTACTATTCCAAGTACTATGGGTATAGCCGAAAGATCGGCACGAAGGCAAGAGCGACATGAAGGATGGGGTAAGAAGGCATGAGGATAGCTAGCAATGTCCAAAGGAGTGGATGAAATAAGAGGAATTCGCTTTCTGTCTGAACCATGCAGGAACCCACCAACCGGCAATGACGATGAGGCGCACCCGAACGTCGAGACGACCCACACACCCTCGACCACCCACGGAAAGCAGTAACGGATGGGAGGTGTCCCTCCCAGCAAGTTACGAGGTCGAAGGGATTGATACAAAATGGAGAGTTGTGACCTTGGGGAGAGACCAAACCTTCATGATGGTGGAATGCCTATGGAGCGACATGAGGTTCAATAAGGGGCCGGGGGACGACTTATACACCGACCTGAGGGGTGATCGGGACCGTGTACTTACCTGAGATTGGATGGCACATGCTAGGAACCGAGATGGCACTAGGGCATGGGCTGCTGCCAATCTTCCGGAGGGCAGCCGGGGCATTAAACCGGATAGGCCAGGAAGTTCGGGGGAGAAGGAATGTGAGGCTAAGAACCCGGGTGGAAGTAGGAGGATGGCGAGAGTTTAGAGCCCCAATGGCAGGGTTGTGGTACCGAGTACCCCGCTTTATGATAGATTTGGTATTCGGCAGCCTCTTGAGGGCAAGGGACTTGGTGAACTCGACCGTAACCTGGATTTACCATTTTCAGCCACAGACGACAAGAATGTTTTACGATGTGTCGGTAAGACATGGGCCGTTTTGGGAAAATTGGGCCTGTGAATTACTAGAACTCATCGAGATCCTGATATTTGGGCGTCACTTTTGGCCTTTGAAGAATATAAACCGATAATTATCAGAGAAATAGGAATGGGGGAAAACTACCTTGCGGGTGTGGCTAGCCTATTCGAAGAACCCGACGAACAGGATGGGCCTGAGGAACCGGTATGAGAAAATTGTCGGGAAGGTGGCAAAGGTGAACGCTAACTGTGGGATGATAGGGACAAGAGCAAGAATAGCGATCTGCAAGGGGGGGTAGTGGCTGGAATCCTACGCTATCTAAGGGTGTACCAGAAAGGGACTAGGATGGTCACTACTACCAAGGACGTCAGGGGTATCCATAGGTTGGGAAGGCAAAAAGGCCATCTTCGAAAGAAGGACCCACCCGCCATGGACATGCCATCTTAGAAGCGAGGTACGGTAATGATAAAACACCGAAACCCGCCAACAGGCTTTCTGGCAGGAAAGGCAAGCGGTACCCCCGCAAAGTGAAGACGGACAGGCCTGCTACTGCCACTATAAAACAGAAAATATTGAAATAGCAAAGGTAGGGCGACTGTAGCAAGCCTTAGGGCCTGAAAATCTGGAAAGCTGTAAACAACTGGCCGTCTCGGAATTTTTTTTTCCCTACGTGTAGGATTAGAAAAGGATGGCGACAGAAGAGGAAGCAGGAAGTCTGCAAAGCAAGGGGAGTCAGGGAACAAAGAAGGACGTAGAGCAGAACGAGGGGTCTGTGAGGGACCGAGAATCAGCAAATCCAGAAGGTACTAAGGAAGGAAGGAAGTGACAACCGTGGAAAGCTCGAGAAAAACCAGAGGGAGCAAATGAGAAACTCAGGAAACTAGGGGAGACAAGAATAAAGGCAGTCTGGTGCCACGGACATTTGAAAGCGCACTGTCAAAAAAGGTAAGGCTAACGGACACCCGGAAGAAGCTAGCCGAGATAGAAAGGAGAATGACGGAATATAAGGCAAAACTCCTGGAAGAGATGATGAACGAAAGCGAGGGGGAATTTGCCGGAGAAGGGTTGAATGAAGAGCAAGGAACAAACCAGGGATGGGGGAGCCAAGACGATACTATAAAAAAGAGAAACGATAGGAGTGGGAGCGTAGGGAAATGCCAACCAAGAAAGGAAAGGAGAAAACGGAGTCCCTAGGAAGGGAGGCGGAGAAGGCTATCAACCCGCTGGCCATAGACAGCGGGGCAAGACGACCAGCGGTTTCGCTCATAATCTCAAGAGGATGCGAAGGGCTTTGGAGCTTAAGAAAAAGGGTGCTGCACTAGTTCGACCCGGAAGGGACGACAAAGCCCGGAGAAGGGAGAAGAACCGGTAAGGAAGAACAAGGCTCCGGCACCACCGATGGGACAGGAGGAACGGAGGGAGGGCTTAAGAAAATGGTGTCTTCCCTCACACGAGCGCTAAATAAAAATCAGGGATACCTAACCGACGCCAAGAAAAAGATGATATTCCACGGGGCTAATATCACAAAATTATTGATAGACTACGAAAATTTGGCGGCACTACTAAGGTAGAGCGAGGAAGAGAAGGTAGAGCACTTAGGGAAGCATGTGTCGTTAAACCTAGGGAGAGACATAATGGCTATCGTCGCAAACCAGCGGATATTGGAAGGAGGCCTTGGACGTAATGAGGCAGAAATATCTGGCAGCCGAGAAAATGGCTACGGAGATAGAGCTGATTGCAGTTCAAAGAAAGAACTTTGCGACATATAACGATTTCCTGAGGGAATTCACCCTCGTAGCATTGCGAATCCCAGGAGTAACTGATCGCATAATGAGTAAATACTTCCTCAGGCAATTTACCGAGTTAAACAAAGATAAAATTTATATCGGCCTACCAGCAGACCACGAAGTTTATAAATACATGGGACGTCGACTTCAGCACCGTGACAGACATTGCTGAGAAGATGGTTGTAACCGACTCATTGGCCTTACTGAAAGAAGAAGAAGTCATAGACCTAACTGGTAAAATGGGCGACAAGGTAAAGAGAGGGATATAAAGTCTGCATGAGCGTGTCCATGGAGTAGATGAAAAAATCAGAAGTGTAGAGAACGCATTGATGGTAATGCAAGCCCAAGTGACGCAAACCCAAGCAGCTCGACCCCCCCTACCACCACAAGAGGCGGTGGCTCCCACAGGAATACCTAATCGGGGGTTCAATAGGAGCGATCCCACAAATGGGCAATGCAAGTATTGTACGATGGTCGGACATTTTGTGCGAGCGTGTCCAAGACTTAACCATGATATCATGCACAAGAGGTGCTCCAAAACGTTACGAGGAGAGATCATAGGCCCCCGAGGAGAGAAAGTGAATTGGAACTCCTTGGGTGGGATGCATCCACCCGTAATCGCACTTAACAACCTCGACGTCGCCACAGTAGAGGCCCAGCCCATGGAGGAACTCGCCTGGGAACAAACGCGAGGACGCGGACCGCAGGCCAATTTTATTTTAAAGAATGACGGGCGAGATAGGGTGAACGTGACCACCAAGCAGCGAACAACAGAAAAGAAGGTCGTACAGGACGCCGTCATGGAAGATGTTGGGGATAGCCCGGGGATGCTACAAGAAGTTGAGGCACAGGAGCAAGAGAAAGTTTATGGGAAACCTAGAGAGGAGGCTTCGGTAGACAAAGCTGCCACGGCCAGAAAGAAATTCCGGTATCAGATCCCCATCCTAACTATGCCCGAGATCGATGACACCCTTAGCAAGTTGTTAGGGACCATGGTGTCGGTCTCTTTTCAAACCATGTTGCAGGCAAGTCCTAGGCTTCTGAAAGGCCTTAGACAGTTGATGACGAGGCGAAGAGTAGAGGTAGAAGAAGGGTCGGAACGGCAGGAGGAAGAGAAGGAAGAGGAAGCGCCGCGAGAAGTCGCCAACCTCCAAAGGACCCTCGGGGACCTGGAAGAGCTAGAGAAGGTCTTCGTAGATATCCGGCTAAGCCTGCCAGACCGTGAAGGTGGCGAAGTTATGAGAGCACCACCAAGAACAAAACTTAGCTTCCACACACTACCGGTGGGTAAGCTGAAAGTCCAGATCGGAAGCCACCACACCAATGCGCTCGTAGATGGAGGGGCTGAAATAACACTCATTAGAAAAAACTTTGCAAAGATTATAAGATGTCCAGTAAACAAAGAGACAACGGGAAGCGTCCATGGGGCAGGCGGAGAAATTCCCTTCTCCGAGTATGTTACTAAGTGGGCAGTCAAGGCCGGGGTTAGGGAGTCCATTTGGTCGTTCCAACGGATGACTGTCATGGACGAAATGGACCATGACATAATCCTTGGGAGACCTTGGTGTACGAATGTAGAGATGATCAGAATGCACCTGCATGATGGAACATACATGATAGACATAGAAGACCCGGTGACGAGATGTGGTGAGCTACTCCGTGTCATCGGAATAGGCGGTGACACAGCAAAGGAGAAACTAGCGACATGATCGCCATCGTTCGAAGAAAGTGCCAGAAAGGGGGCGTTCACATGAATGAAAGAAATAAGGGAAAGGGTAGAAATTATGATCGAGGAAGCATTCAGCAAGAAAGAATGGGTCAAGATGGGGTTGCCACAGAAAAAGCGGAGGCAAGAGGACGATGCCCTACAAGTAATGGTAGTAGAAAAAAGACGGAGGTTGAATTGGGAACCAACTTGCCTAGACCAAAGGAGGCCTAAGAGGAGGAGACCGGGATAACACTGGAAGTCCCGGACTTACTGCACCTCATCAAGGTTATCAGATACCATAAGGTAGGTGTGGATCCGACCACGCTCGCCAAATTTGAGGGAGAAGTTCGAAAAGGGTACGCCTGAATGAGAGATTAATCAGTATCCCGCCTCGGATTGTCGAAGCACCTCGGGCAATTCCGACTGTCCATTTTTTAGGAGAATGATCCCGGAAGGAAGCATTCGTAAGTACAAGCCAGTAGGGAAGAAGGCTAAGCCTGTCTCTGTCCTGCTAGAAACAACAAAGGAAGAGGTCATGGAAAAGAAGGAGGAAGTGCTCCGGATGATTAGAGAAAGAAGGGCAACAGAGGGGCATTGAATACCAAACGAAGTAGCAGAGACCATGAAGATAGGGGTGGAGAGGTTCCTGACAGAACAAAAGACAAACTTGATCAAGGAGACATGCGAAAAAATTCACCTGGCTTTTGCCTTCAACAACCATCAGAAGGGACGATTAGACGCGAAATTGATACCTCCAATCAGGATCCACACAGTCGAGCACGAATGTTGGAAGGACAAGGGGTCTGCCTACGACTTTGGAATAGCAGGGAAAGTAACAGAACTGCTTAGAGCAAAAAGGAACTCCTTCGTGGCAGAACCCACCGCGTCACCGTACGCGAATAGATGGTTTGTGTTCCGGAAACCTAGCAAGTCGCTTAGGTGGATCCAGGACCTGCAAAAATTAAATGTTGTCACCATCCGGGACGCGGGATCATTGCCTCAAGCAGACCTGTTGGCAGAATCTCAAGTCAGACGAAGCATTTACTCATTAGTAGACCTCTATTCTCGATACGATCAGCTCCCGCTGGATGCCCGGGACAGATCCTACACGGCTATGCATACCCCGATATGGCAATTACAAATGCAAGTGACGCCTATTTTTCACCAATGTCGTGGCAGAAACGCAAAGAAGAATGCTCGCAGTTGCGGGAGATGTGTTCCTCGCAAAATGCGAACCGTGCATTGACGACAATCCGATCAAAGGTGCACGAGAGAAGGATGAAACGGAAATCCAACCAGGGATACGAAAATTTGTGTGGGACCAACTGCAGGATATCGAAGAGCTTCTCCGTAGGTTCTTGGAATACAACATCACTGCAAGCGGCCCCAAGAGCATTCTGGCAGTGCCGGAAGTGACCATCGTAGGATTTCACTGTGGGTCATATGGGAGGAAGCCCGATCCGGCCAAGATGGACAAAATTTCTCAATGGTCAATGCCCCTACGAACCACAACGGAGGTAAGAGCCTTCCTAGGGGTTGTAGGATTTTGGAGGATTTTTATCAAAGGATTTGCAAAGATAGCCGAACCCATTCGGGCCATGATCCGTGATGAGGGCACGCTCGATTGGAGAGAGGAACGAGAATGCGTCGTGCAGACCTTGAAAGACATGTTGATATCTGAACAGGTCACCCTTGCCGCTCCATGTTTTAACGATGAGGTAGGGCGTCCGTTTCTGCTTGAGACCGATGGGGGACCATTAGCCGTGGGAGGAGCTCTGATCCAAAGAGGGGAAGATGGAAGCAAACGACCAATCAGGTTCGAGAGTAGGAAGTTAACTCAGTCGAGCGTCGCTACTCTCAATTCAAGAAAGAAGTGTTGGTCGTTCTTCACTGCCTTAAGACCTTCTAAGCCTACCTCTTTGGGAGGAGGTTCATCTTGAGAATAGATCCAACAAACGTCACAGGGGCTCTAAAAAAATTCAAGCTTATAGACCCCACCGTGGGAAGATGGGTGGGGTTCATTTGGCAGTTTGACTACAAGATCGAGCGCATAGGCGGCCTCAGGAACAGGGAAGACGGCTTGAACAGGATGTGCATTACACCGGAAGGAGTAGAGGACGTGGAACCTATCGATGCGTTCCTCGACTACAAGGGAGGGACCCTTGCGGTAGAGAACGAGATGATAGAACCCGCTTGCACATCTGGGGAATTGTTGATTAAGACTTTAGAGAAAGAGTCTGCCGCGGTGGTGGGAGAACTCAGGGAAGGGGAAGTTACAAGAACCGGTCACAAGGAAAATAAAGACCCGTAGAGTGACATTGTGGGGCCTCAGGAAGAATTGATGGCGGTGGTTGTAGAAGGAGGGCAAGAGGCGATTATGAGTTTGGTTGAGTCATGGCAACAGAAGCGGCAACGGTTCTTAGTAAACCAAGTGCGGAATGGACAGGAGGATCGTCGGGATCAGAATAAATTCTTCCTTATCCGATCGTACAATGACATCTTCAAGGAGATCGGCGTATTACTAGTGGGAAACAAGGAGGCTCAGGAGGTCAGCCTCAAGGCCAGAGAGAAAGCCGATAAATACGTACTAAGAAATGGACACCTGTTCTGAAAAGAGGAAGGCCTAATGCCTAGAAGGGTCGTATGTGGACAATCAAAGCAAGTTGACATAATTCCGGCAATGCATGATGGGTTGGTAGGGGGACATTGCTCCTCAAAAGAAACCCTGGCCAAAAAAGCGCCACTCTACTTTTGGTCGGGAATGGGGAGTATGATTGCCACATACTGCCAGACCTGCTTGATCTGTCAGGAGCGGAGTACAACTCGAGTCTTTGAGCCCCTAAGACCCACGTGAGTGCAAGGACTACGGCACCTGGTTCATCTCGACCTCGTAGTCATGCCTGTATCCACGAAAGGATACAGATACATACTTGACGCTAGAAATAATCTCAGTGGGTTTGTGGAGGTGGTAAACCTTAAGAATAAAACTAGACCGGCAGTAGCAGATTGGATCGAGGACTTTTACCCGAGGCACCCATTTATCAAAAGATTTATAGCTGATAATGAGACAAAGTTCGTGAATGAAGACGTGTTGGGTACATGCAAGAGACTCGGGGTGCCCATCAAGTTAATAAAGCCATACCACCCCGAAGCTAATGCACCCGTGGAAAGAGGGCACAAAACTTTGAAAAACACGATCGCAAAGTTAGCAGTGGACGATCTTGGAAACTGGCCAAAGTACCTCAAGCAAGTAGTGTTTGCAGAAAATGTGACCCCAAAGAGGACCATAGGATGTATTCTAGCCGAATTATGGTATGGGAAGAAAATTGACTTCCCTGTAGAATCCCTGGTAACAACTTGGGAAGAAAATTGACCATATCTGCGTCTGACGAAGGAACAGTTAATTGAGACTAAATGTCGGCAGATGATTGAAAAATGAGGAGGCAATGGAAAAAGTCGTAAGTCGGGTTCTGGATAGCAGAATGAGGGACAAGGCAATGTGGAATCAGCTGCGGAACATCAGAAAAGAACCAATACAGGTGGGAGAAATGGTCCTAGTCAGGAATTCTGCACTAGAAAATATTTGGTCATGACAACTGGGGAGAAGATTCTAGGGCCCCTACCGGGTCGCCAGGAGACTGGGGATGAACACTTTCGAGTTGGAAGATTTGGATGAGACCAGGGGAAAAGGATCATTTCTAGGATAACGGATGGTCAGATTCCTAAGTCGCGACCCATTGGAACAGTGGTTGCAAGAGGCTCAGGACAAGGAAACTAGGGAACAGGGCGACTAAGGTGTCAGCGAAGATCTTACCCATAATGTAGTTTGTGTTTTGGGGGATGGGTTTCTGACTGTGCTTATGGTAAACGGATTGCATGGGGTGAGTGATGCGGCCGGGGTATTATACCATAGTTTTTTGGGGGGATAATGTTCGACGGAGGYCGAGGCATTGTACCATAGTTTTTGTGAGGGATGGTATTGGGGTGCTTGCCTAGGGCATTGTACCACAGTTTTTTTTTCTATGAGGGATTGATGGTATC